TCATAGTCCTCCGTGGAGTTGATCGTTCAGTGATCGTTCGAATCGATTCGATCGAATCGTGAACCTACGTGGACGCAACACACGGCCCATCCAGCTTACCCGGTACGAACTTGACCCATTAAACAGGCCGGATTAATCAAGTTTGCAAAACCCCCTTCGTTCTTCTTACGTAAATTCCAACGCTGTCTAAGGCTTCGTCGTCGGTGTTCCGAAAACCAAGACGTAGACGTACACGACGATATCCGCGTGCTCGATCACAACCGTAAAAAGGCTCGGTTTTGTCGCGAAGCAGCAAGAATCATTCGTTTGGGGCCTGCGCATCGGAGATTCTTGTGTTTCAAGGGGAAAAAATTAGAGTAATTCAAGTTAATTCTAGAGCCCCACTTCCCCCACGCCACTCCGAGTTGTGCCCGATTTGATGAAAAGACCGTGCTATAAGTTCCCTCCGGCTTTCTGACCTCTATAAAGTCGATAAACCGGAGTTTCTTAAAATAGACGCGCACCGAGCGGGCTGCAAGGTCGCTCGACTAGTTCGAGCGTGGTAAGTCATTCGATTAACTAACAAACAAATCGGAGCGATACGACGAATATGGGATTCAGGGAACTAACCTGTACAATGGTAAATTGAATTTTCAAACCACACTGTGGATTGTCGTCAGCTTGAAAAAAAGGAAGAACGGTCGTACGTCTATTACGCGGTAAAAGCTCTCGTATATAAACGAAGCTGAAGGAAAGTCCTTCGAAGTGTCGTACGTACCTTCGCAGAATTCCGAATCTTGACCACAGCCCAGCCCTACGTGCCGATTCGATTCCGCAAAAAGGATCAAGAAAATTCGCTGTCGGAGCGGGAGCAACAGATACGAGAAACGAAACCAAAAAGACCAAGCTGAACCAGACCACTGAACAAGATGTTTCACGAAGGTTAGATCGAGAGAGAGAGAAATTGTCCCAGGGCGGGCAGACCCGCAGAAAATTTGCCGAAGCAAATCCCGTGCTGGCATCGAGGCTGATCCAACCGAGATCCCTCGAAGACGGAAATGAACGAAATACCACAGTGTCTCTGAACCGAGAACGATCGAAACGAGGAGGAACTTCGTTCTTCCGGGAAGACGCGAAAAAATCCTGGCGCCAAGCATTTCGCCGGTAACAAAGACGAGTTGATTTTTTATCACCCCTCCCGACCATACCCTCCCTTGTTTTCCACCGAACCTTTTACGCGACAGACGTCCTTCCTGTGTTTGTTTGGTAAAAAGCTCGAACTCGGTACTTTTCGCGACAGCACCGTTTTCAGCGAAAGCATTGTTCTTCGAAGGGGAGAGGGGAAGATTTTTCGACGATTTCAGAATTCCCAGCTGAAGCACTCTACTAAACCTCATTGAAAAGCCAGCGTTACACATGGGGACCTGCCCCTTGGCAATGCCGAAGAGTCTTCGAACACTCTACGATGATTTACTGTACCCGTTAATTGTCGGTACTTCTTGCGATAATCTTCGTTCGAGCAAACTTTCGCAACAAATTCCTCATGATTCGGATGACCAGTGGAATGACTGGTGGCCGCGCGGAAAAAAGTGAGCAGGAGTTGGCGTTAAATTATTACGCGACGTGTCCGAGTGTCAACGCTTTGAGAACGAGCGGCGAATTTCTCATAGATCCCAGCCCCCTAAATCTTCATCAACGCTGACCTTATTTCGTTTTTTTTTCATTTCGGAACTACGGAACGGGAAGGGTGAGTTACGAACACTCTTCCGTAGAAAACGAAGAACCAAGGAAAGACTTCGAGGAAAACTCTTACCGAACTTCTAATGAACTTCACGTTGTATACCCTTAAACTGAACGAAAATTAATCGACATCTCGGAATCGAAAGAATAAACGACGAAAGCATCGGAGAGTTCACGACCTCGGACGGTATCAGGAAAATAACTCCATTACCCTTTGGTCATAAAAACGAAACAAGTAAATAAATGTAATTTCGACCATTTATATATAATTTTCGCTAAACTGCATACAATTGCAAAGAAAAGAAATTTCTGATCGAAGTACTCATAAAAGGTTCGAATCTACTCGGCCAGGGTTCCAGTACCTATACTTGGTTCGAACCTCTTTCTTCTGGGTTCGAGTCCACTTAAAAGTATTACTTTTCTTTTTCGAAGTATTCACGAAACACGTTCGAAACTATCCAGTTAGATTCAAACCTACTTGTAATATACTTTATTCCATCTCTAGAGAGAACCAACATTTTCTGGTTGCCTGGGCGAACTTTCCAACTGAGACAATGAGACGCGAACTTGCCACAATTGGGTAAGGGGGCGGGGGAGGTGCAGCTGTTGCACCCCGTGAAATTACGTAGCCGCGTTCAACGACCATCGGTTCACACAGAAGGAAAGAAAACCCCAGCCACCCCCCAGGCTGGTGAAAAAAAGCAACCAGTCGGAAGGCGCAGAGCTGCCATCGACTTATCAAAAATCCAAACAGCGATGTGGAGGGGAACGGTTTTCCAGGCGTTGCGCGCGAACAAACGAAAAGCCGCGCAAACTTTTTTCCCTCCCTTACGAGCAGGTTTCGGTGTGGGGGTTGATGTACACGTTGGCGAGTTGTTTTTCAAGGCCTGCGTCGGCGCGCCGCGTGACGTATGCACGTCCAGCTCTTTTAATCGCGTGTGACCTACATACCAGTTCGCTCGTCTTCTGTTTACTCGAACGTCGGGGCAGCAGGAAATACTAGGGATTTCGATCATTTTCACCCCCCACCGAGGGAATTTCTCCTACCCCCAATTCGCGAAAGCACGCCTCGTTTCGTTTTTCGGAAATAACGATCCAGCGATACGCATCCTTTCAAAGACTGGGAAGCTTTCGTGTTTCTGGTATTTCGTTGTGCCACGCACTTCCATTTTTAGATAGTATTCACGATTACGGTGCCTCTAAAAGAAAACTAAGTACTGGGGTGGTGCTTGTTTAATGGAACAAAACTTTTTCGTTGTACTTTTTCACGAAGGCATCCTGTTCAATGTTTTCAACCTTACGAGTAAGTGATACGGTATTTTAACCATTTTTTGCAATTAAATATTAGGAGTTGCACCCAACCACTGTATTTTGTGTGTTTTTTTTTTTTTTGAAGAGAAACAATGCACTTCTCTTTTTGACACGTTATGATTTTTTAACGCGTTTATTTAACATTGGAAAATTACTATAAAATAAATTTGTGGACCGACAACTTTTACGAATAATCTATTCGCATTTATGAAAATCTATTTGCCAAATAATGTCATCGGGCCAATAAAGTCGATTTCGTACTACCAAAATATGTGATACTAAATGTGTATACTGTTACTGCGAATACGCACCAGCGGAATATTCTCTTTACGTTCTTAATCGGCAAAAATAAAAAATCTCAATTCGCACTAGTGTGTTGTCTTTTCAGGTAGGATATGGTTTCTGAGGATTAAGCACCAGCCCACTAAATACCGCAGTTACGCAATTTTTAATAATAGATTCTCCATCTACTCCACCTTCCCGATCGTATAAGATCGATCAAAGTTGCGGAACGCAACGTAATATCGAAGATATAGCGCGATAAAACTGCAAAAATGCATCGTGGGAAATTTAACGCCCTTTAATCACCGATACACCAAAGCTCGGTTCGACTCGGTTTACCGCATATCATCGTTCCTCCGCCCATTCTCGGTCTACCGTACGAGTGGAGAACACCCCGTAAAAGCGCGATTAACTTCGGGCACGGCTATTCAATTATCCGCGGGCTCGTTAACGGGGCCATCAAAAACGGCGGCTTGTGGCAGGCTGTCGGAGCAACAGATTGCGAAAAGGGCCCGGAGGAAACGGCATGAAAAGACGACGAGGGGGCCGCAACGGGCGGCGTTGCGCTCTGGAAAGCTCCTCCGGGCGATTTTCCTTTTGCGATACCAGAAAGGAGGGATTAGCCCGAAAGGTAGAGGGAACACGCGCGCGAACGAAATTTTCAAGAGTAGCATGATCTTTTGATCCTAGCGCGCCACGGTTCCGTGGACACGAGAAGGTGGAATGGGGGTGGATTGATTAAGGTCGTCGATGGGGCGAAGTCGAGAAAACGAAGGGAAGAGTGAACTTTGTCGAAACAGTCCGGTAACACGTTGACTGCCGCAGTGAAAAAGGACGTACGTAGACCAGACACGCTGTATTTCGCTTTTTAAATTGTAGATCGTCGAGAATATGTAGGATGTCTTTGAAAGTTATATACAAACGGGAATCAGGCAATTCCTCTTGAACAGATGAGAAAAAAATATAGAATAAAATTTGAAAAGTTGCTGGATACATGCGTGCGATTGAATAGGGCTCGGCCAGCGCGTGTCTGTTCGTTGCATTCCGTTTCTACTGACTAGCATAACGAATGCATGCGTATCAGATTGAATGTTCAAAGTTGATTTTCTCTAGCCTTTTTACGATGTACGTGTCAGCCATCAGGTGGGTGACGCGACAGTCAAATTGGTAAAGGCAGCGCATACGGTGGACACGGATGATACGTTGTTTCGAGCAGAATATTCGAGAGTTAATTTTGTTTCCATTCCACGGGAGTATCAAAGAGAAACGGTCTGGTTGGTCGGTGGACCGCGGTGAGATTATGTACAACAAACGACCTGAAATTTTGCGCGCAATTCCGTACGAGTTATACGATCTTCCGCGTTATCACCGAACGATCGTGAAACAAAAAATATATCCTGTGCACTGTTTTAAATTAATCGCAGCTCGTAAAACCTCTTTGTGCAAAAATCCAAGTCCATCGATCGCTTTAATTGTAGCGAACCCGTAACACGGTCCGTTAACAATGGCAATATCTTTCAGTTCCACCCCGACGACGGTTACGAATCGACCGAATCAAATTCTTTCGGGGAGAAAAAAAACGTGAAACAACCACCGGCCATTTCCAGCCAGTGCAAATATTTTTCCTTATCAACCTTACTGCCTATCTTAATCAGAAAGAAAAACGTCGAGTTAAGAGATTTACTCACTGTGAAGGTGGTCGTCGATCCTCGCCTGAAGCATGTTGAAGCTCGAGCTCGGCTGATAGGGCTGCTGATCGCGGATACCCCCGCACGCGAACTGATAAAAGTCCTTGCAAGGATCCACCCCCTTCTTCATGAACGCCACCATTCGCTTCGAGGCTTCCTCGCAAGCCTTCGAGTCGCAAACACCATCCGGACCATCCCGTTCTCTGATGCAGGCTTCGTCCTGAAATTGGAAGTCGTTTTTTCCATCTTTACCATGCCCACACACGTGTCTCCAAGAATATCTTCTAACTGAAATACTCCACACACACCCACACACCCTTCCATCGTTCAATTTTATTTTAACTTGCAAAACCGAGACCAACGATCGAAATCTCCGTTGAAGTTTCTCTTATACACAGAACGGTGACGGTTTGCATAAACGTTTTCTGGGACACTTTTTGCGCTAAAGAAGCTCGCCTCACCAAGTTATATTCCCCCGATAACAAATGCGCCGTTCCACGGTGAACCGATTCAAAGCAACGTCTGCGTTTTCTTTCGACAATTCGTCTTCGTGTGTGCTCGTTCCCACGGAGTTCGACGTTAAACGAGGGCCAAGAAACGAACGCTTTTTCCCCCCGTGGTTCTCGTTCGATTCCGTCTGATATGCGATAAACCACAGGGTGGTCCTTTCCTCTGTTCCTGTTTAATGCGCCGGACCGAACAATTCTTTACGCGGGACGAATCGAGGATCATAAGTCTTCTGTGAAAGAGACGAATGGAGGGACCCTGTGCGAGCGTGTTCAGCCATAGTGAAGATAAATAAGGGGAAAAAATAACCGTGGTGAAAAGTCATCGGAAGAATCGGCGGTGACTAGCACGCGAGCGATCGTGTGCAAGTCTTAAAGAGATCCTAGGGACCGAATCGACGTAGATGCTTCATTGTCGTCGAGTGGCTCCGTGTCGAAAACGGGATACGATTTTTGACAAAGACGAATGATTCTCATCCAGGGACGGTTACGTCTACCGTCGAGAAAAATGAAATTAATTCCGACGTGATCCAGAAACTCGAAGCCCTTCGAGCACGCGATCTCTCTTATCGGTATTAAATTCTTCGAGTTGATGGAAAAGGTTTCAGGATGAGCACACGCGGAAATAGATATATCGATCGTGTTCGAGGTGGACGATAGAATAAATGACAGGCACCTGGGACGAACTGTAGTTTCTTGGAGTTCTTTCGAAATAAGGTCCGCCGGACTTACATTAAAGTCGGAGGGAATCGTGGAACGTTCAACTTTCGAATCCACGAATTCCGATCTCGTCCACAATAACACCAAGAAATTTTCTTTCGGGATGGTCTGGTACAATTGGATCACCACCGAGGGACACGAATCCTCGTCAAAAGAAACGTTTCAACCCGAAAAGTAAGTTACCTAACCCAGACTATCAAATCGGTCTGATTACGATTGTGGCCCTCGTAAACATCATGGAACTCGCGTTCTCGCCTAAAAGGGGCACCGAGGTACGACCTTAAGGCTCGATAAATCCCTATCCGAGCTTTTTTTCACCCACCCCCCACGACCCCCATGCATCACAGGGCTGTCGGCTCAATTACAGGCCGGCTCGTGCACTATGCGGCGTACTTGGCGAAACTCGCGTGCGTTCCTTGGCTTTCCTCGTGTTAATGGAAGTTCCTTCGCGACGTCGATCCTGATCAGGCATTCGCCTAGAAGGATTCCCCCTTGGAAATAGAATCGACGAACCGGCCTCCATTTCTCGAGGCGAATTTTCCCTATCAGCCAGGAGAGAGAACATACACTCGGATTCGCAGCTTGCAGGAACGCGTTCAACCAGAAGATGGAATTATTATGATATAATTCGCCGTGACAAACTCTCCGCAATATTTCGCGTGCATAGCCAAGAATCTTCCAGAGAAAGCTTTCGACGTTCGATTAACCCTTTAACGTGCCCAGTGATGCACGTTAACTTTTCTGCAAATTTTTCTTATATAACATGTAGCCGATTAAAATCGTGATGAATGTTACCTACGACACCCTGTATAATTCATTGAAACGTTTTCTGATACAATCACAATAGGTAACGAGGTATTTTAGACACTAGTTCCCACTGATTCTGTATATCAATATCATAATGTTGGAATTAACGTGAATTAGACTTTTCGTTTTTCACCAAAGTATCAGAAGCGAATCACTTCAGTCATAATGGATAGTCCGTACCTTAAAGTTTCCACCGATACCGTTCCGCACGTACAGAGGAAGAAGTGCATTCGCCGTTAACGAAAATGAAATTACACCGATGAATTTTTCAATTTATATTCCACGCACGGCCTACTGCTCTATCTAAATCAAATCCCGGCGAAGATGGCTGAACGGGGACCTCGTTTCCACCGGGAGAGGTGTATTTACCTTGTTCCAGGATCTCTCTCTCTCTCTCTCTCTCCTTCTTCATCTCGTCTCGCACGCACGCCGAGTTAAGAGGACGATCGGGGCACGTGCGCGGCACCAGAAAGAGTAGAAGGACCGACTCGAGATTCTACTTTCGGCTGGAGAATCCGTAAGAAAGTGTTCAGGGATAACGCGAAGGGACATGGAGATGCAAATGAAATTTCATCGCGTCGCGTGGTCGGCTCTCGGCGCGCAAAATCCCTTCGCGGCCTGTCGCCGGTGAAAGTCTCTTCCATTTGATTTTATTTCCCTCCCCCATCATACCGGTTCACGGTGAAAAATTGCAAATCCACGTGGCTGTAACGCATGGAAATATATGCTGGCGTACCGGGGCGTTATGAATACGCGATGAAAAAATAATACGTGTATGAAGGAGAGATAATCGGTACGCCTAGAATCGACGGTTCTGGAAAACCTTGTACGGTAACGACGATTTGTTTTTTTAACACTTCGACTGTCACGTCATCCAATTGCAACAAGACCTATTTACCAAATGCCTCTATTTACTAAACCCATATAATTTTCTACGACTTATACCTTAAAAAAAAAGTGTCTTGCTACGTACGGCTTTTTTCCCTGTGACGGTCAACGTGTTAAAGTAGTCTAGACGAAGGATCGGTCAGACACAAAAATGTATCGTGCCCTAGAGATCGTAAAGGCGAGGAAGATGTATGTCGACTCGAAAGTCCAACGGGGTGGAGATAAGGTCAGGATGAAGGGTAAAACCCTGACCCCCCCCCCCCCCGGGGCAGGGTTGACATTCGCCTCGAAACCTTACCTTGCCGGCTATGGCTTCTTTGGGCCGCGTTTCGCTCCGACGCGATCCGATAGACCGTCGTCGCACAGTTCGCGGCCGAAGTCTTTCATTTTAAATCCATCGTTCGTCGACTGAGCGTAGCAATATCGAATAAATCATCGGAACCTCAAAGTGTTCGCGGCATCAGTTTCGACAATGGTAGATGCTTTCTCTCTACGCGGAAATTGTTTCAAGGAAAATCGTTTAACGGCGAATACGTTTCGATTCTCCCCGAGGCTGCTACTGCGACCGATAAACTTTTCCTCGAAGATATTTACTACCCACGCTACGACTCGATAAACGCGATTGAACACTTTTGCGGAATATAAGTCCCGAAAAAGACGCTGAGAGGATCGGAATGCCTCTACAGTCCCTGGTCATATTAATGTGTCCTCTTCGAAAAGTTTACAGAAAAACCAACTTTTCTTTTTCAGTGTTGCCAGTGCACAACAAATTATTGCCTCTACTTTCATGAAGCCTCTTTCCGTAATAATAGAACAAACATTTTGACATCAAAGAATAACAATTCTGCTTCAGAAAACTGGTGGCAATTAGATTTTGTTTAATGTAGACAAATGGCCACATTTGTTATTCATACCACATTTGTTATTCCTACCACCTTAGATCGTGAAATTACTGAAAATAAAAAATAATTGAAATAAATCCGTTTTGACACATTTTATATAGAACCACTGTCTGTGCAACTAGCCATTGTTTTTACTGTGAAATCCTGTGCTTAAAAAAGTTGAAACGATTACGTCGCTAACCATCCCGGCAAAGTGTTACATGGGTATAACCGGAACGGATTTCCCCACCATTTCTGGCCCCTGGGAAGATTTAAGCGGCGATTGGAATCCCTCTAACTACGTCAGCTGTAATTACTGCAAACTTATTAACAGGAGAGCCGAGTAGTAAGGGAAGGGGGCCCCGAAAAAGGAGCCGATCGATTGATCACGGATTACCTGGAAGCCTCTGTGCTCGATTTAATCGTCCGAAACTGATCCTCCGAATCAACTTTCGAACGCTCGGGAAGGAAGGATCGCGATTCGCGGATTAACGAGTCGAGCATTTTATTTCTAGATGAAATGAACATTGTCAAAGTAATAGTTTCACCGAGGACCCAGGCGAATGCGCGTGTATGTACAACGGGGGGGCCCACGGAGCAAGGGGATTTTTATACGGCCACGGGTGACCGGGCAAATTGAAGCATTGTTTAATTGGAATGTGCATCTATGTATAAAACCTCGCGTGGCGTGTCGATTTCGTGCCACTCGATACACCTCCATTTACCGGACGCTCCAAATAAATTCGACGCCTTTCCGGTCCCTTTAACTTCCCCCTCGTACAAAGCACGATCGAGCCATTCTAACCCGACAAGAGCAAAATGTCTCTCTTTATCCCGTTCTTCGAACTTTCCTCTCGACTTGCGCCTTCAAAAGAGAGAGAGATAGAAAGTCACCGACATTTAAGCTCGGTGGTGCGCTTGCCTCGAAGCGGACGCGCCACAAACGAGTGAGTCGATAAATCTTTCGTAGACCGAGCACTCTGAGTACGGCTTCCGTGCGTCGGTTCGCACGATCCTCTCGGATTAAATTCCGCAGCGCCCAGAACCGAGTGCAATCTCGACAGTATCGTGTCCCGCGAGCATTGCTATCGGTTACGGGTCTGATATTAACAGAAGTTACCGTTGAACCACACATCGTTTAGAAACTATACAGTCTCTAGTTTTACTCAAAGTTACTCGCATCGGAAAGTGTGCCCCCTGGTGTCATGTAATTTTTGTCCAAAACATTTTTTAGTATTGTCACCGGTATTCGGAGATATTCAAGTGGGTCGATTCGAATAGAACACCTTGTATACATATGTTATGAGGTAAATACCCCGATAAAGGAGTACGCGTTGTCTCTATGTCCGCGGTAATTAACTCATAAGCATGTTGGTCCCAGACATATCGGTTGATCCTCGATGATAATCGTCCATCGCAACGCTCCCGAAATTGAAACGCTAATCCCAGCTCGTTCGGTTGTCGAAACCAATTATCCGATATATTTTCGATGGTTCCTCCGTTTTTCTTTCTATCTTTTTTTTTTTTTTGCTGTCGAACAAGATATAATTGGGTACGTATAAGCAACGCCGACTGGTCTGTATAATTAATAAATATACACATCGAGCAGGAGCACCAGTTAGAGGCGATGTCTATTTTTACGTTACTCGCGCTATTCTCGCGTCGCCCCGCGAGACGATCGATCGATCGGTCTCGTTTAACGATTGACCAGCCCCCGGCCTTTAACCTCCTTTCCGAATTCGCGAATATCCCCGGCAGTCGATTTTCCCTGGTAACGACTCATTCGAACGACACGTATCGTTGCTCGAGAACGAATATTCACGACTCTTCGCGACGTCAGACTGTTAAATATACCTGTTTCGATGGACGGAGCTCGCGGTGAAATTGATGTTGACATTTCCGAGAGGCGGAGTGATTTTAATAACGGCTGCTCTCGATAATTAATTCCCCACATCCCACACAAATGTTTTTCTAATATTTGACGGCCTTTCAGCCGAATACGCAGTCCAGTTATTTTACGTCTATGAGATGAAGTAAAAATTTATTTGTTCAGAAGAGTCATTTCTGGCAACATTGCTTGGAACTACCATCAGAATTTTTTTCGAGGGATTAATTACGGGTTGAAGCTCGATCGATTGCTACGGCAGATTAACGCACTTACTCCGTAAGCGTGGATCGTGTACAGTTAAGATCCTCGTCCAAGGACCTTTAACTGAATTATAAGTCGCCCGATGTTTATTGAGAAGCCGTACACAGGAGGGGTATAACTTGCACGAGCTGATACCAGTTATACGTCATTACCGGGTAAAAGAAGAACGGAAACGGATGCAACGACATTTCGTTTCTCGATCGAAATTTTTCAATCTTGCAGCGCATCCGAATCGGTTGTAAATAACTTCGAAGAAACATTCTTACGGATAGACGGAGGGATATATTCTGTAACGCGAACCAAACCAGAGACGAGAGAGATTCCATTCCTCCTCGTGGTGGGGTCAACAATCCATGGAATCCAAGCACTAAGTTACCCGTATCGGACGAACGAGTATAGAACACACATGATACACTGTGTTAAGAAATGATAGGTTCATTTATAATTAACGGTGAAAAATTGCCTACGTTTAGAAAAAAATTCTAATTTTGTTTTGACAACATATCCTCAAATAATATTTAACACAGTAATTTGTTAATATAAGTCCCTAATACAAACAGGGAGGAAACAGTGAAAACGTGTAAAAATGCTTCACGGTATTCTTCTCTCGTTCGAACGCGTGCGCGCCACTTGGAATCGCGAAACGTTTCCCCTGTCTCCGAGGTTGATCTTTGGGATCATCCTGAAACGATACGATACGAGGCAACGGTGTATCGAACGTGTGTGTACGAACGTAACCACTTCTACGGTGGTTGCATCGAAACCACAGGCTACCGTCTCTATGGGTCAAAATTTCCGGAAGATATGCAACGGTTTTTCTCGTGACGGGCAGCGTCACCGGTCGAGGGGAAAGCCTGCAACGATATAACGCCTTCGAGGGAAACACGGCCGGGTCGAAGGACATAAACTCTCACGGTCTAGCTCACCCGGACAAAACCTGTTACACCGTGGTACGTCGGCGGCTGAACAGCTTACAAATCGTCCCGCTCCATTCACAACGGATCCGCAAAGCGCGAAGGTAAATCTGCTAGACGCACGGGGCCTGAGCTGAAATCGGCGAACTCGAGCGAGGAACAGAAATATCCTGTTAGCGAGATCTATCGTCCAGATTAAAGGGAATGCGGGAGGCTAGGCAGTCGTCCGAACTAGCCGTGAACCCTCGTCGGTCGATAGGCTATGGAAACTCTAAATGTACCGATCTAGTTAACACGTTGACTGGCACAGTGAAAGAAGCCGTATGTAGCCAGACACATTTAATTTCATGTTCAATACTGTTGGCGCCTATATACGAACACTTCACATTGCTCATTACTAGACCGTGGATGTTTATGCAAATTTATCATTTTTGACACTACTGTAGAAAAAAACAAAATTACAGAGAAATTTCTTTTCTATTGTAGGTATGCGTTTTAATATGTCAATACGTACGACACGTAGAAAGTTGTTCACGTGAGAACAGATAAGTGAATGTCAGGCAAGCAGGAGACTGTTCCTAGAGGATCTGGCCACGCAGTGGGGAAAGGCAGCGATACCTTTTGGTAAAAAGACTGTGATCGACCGCACCGCACTTACCCCAGAACCCCGAAGGAGCGTAGTTTTTTTTTAAATTAAACACCTCGAACTAATATTTCAAACAAAGACGAAACGTCGAGATAGATCGTGACTCCCAACGCCGTCTATCGAAATCGAGAGAATCGCCGTACGCGCACCTTGTAATAAGATCACCCAGGTGGAGATCCTATCTTCGTACAAAAGAACACCGATAAAAGCAACAATATCCCGGGCGATCGAGAGGGCATCGAGAACACCAGAGAGACCCTTCTTCGATCCCGTCCGTCACGTTTATGGTCCCACCGTTTATTTTACGACGGAGCCAGGAACCCACCGATTCTTAGATGGCCAGTTTTCCTAGATAGGAAATACCATTCGGAATTTCGGTTACCCAGCTCTCCCCGTCCGTGATTTCATTCTCTCCAACCACGTCGACGACACGCGTACCGAACGCGCTCTCGAAATTTCCGCTTATACCCTATCCACATACGTGTGCTGTTCCCACTGCGGGACGACTTTTAAAGCCGGTTTCTCCGCGTTAAGTTCCTCGAGAGACATTAACCTCAACAAGACAGCTCGATTCGGACGGAGGGTGAAAGAAACGAGGACGAAGGGAACATCCCTCCCTCCCCACCTCGAGAACTTTTACGACGGGAAAACTCTTGTGCCACGATCGCGAGAAACGTGGGAAGGTCGATGGCGAAGAGTGTGTGTTGTCACTCACCAGGGATGAACATTCACGCGGTTGTTCTCCCTCTGGCAGCGTGGTGATGAGGAACAGGACCGGACTGGTGACCAACAAGCTGGTGACCAGGAGCATCGCGAACGTAAGCAACGCCTTGTGCACAGCCTTGCTTCTTCGGAGCCAGTAGCAAGGCACGCAGCATATCCAGGTACCGTGTTGCGTGGCTCTCTCGACGTGTACCTGCGAAACCAACAGGAATCGGAACGTTTGCATTAAAAATGGTATACAAGTGTTCACACGACCGGTTATAAAAAGCGAGCAATGGCCGGGTAAACTTTGAACCCTTTTCACACCCGATTCTTTTTTCATTTTTCATCAGAAAACAATTGATTGTCACGAAGCAATTTAAAGAAATTTTTTTCTACTAATTACAATTGATAATTGAAACTTTGATAAGAATGTCGAGTGTGACACTCGACGTAATAGTATCTGTGTGAATGAAATTGATGCAAAGTTACATTCGAGAAAGGAGTTCAAAGGGTTGAACTCGATTTTATTAAAGACGAAGGCTCTCGAGACTCATTAACCGGTAGTACACTTCACGAAACACTTTTACATCGCGTTGAGAATCTCGAAAGCGGAAGCTGTTAGCTGGGTGATTTTCCAACATCCACGTGAACGCGACTAAAGATAGCCGATAATGATTTAACTCACCGATGACAGTTAACGTAAGTGTATACGCCACATGGTTTATCTGGCATTTTGGGCACTAATATTTTAAGTGTTCATTGTTTTTCTCAGTTGTATAGGTTGCTTAGAAAAATAATAATTTCACTTCAGAAGACGTTAAAATTTCTCGTTAACGCATTTATAAATAATCTGTTTTAAACACGGCGCTACCTATACGAAATGGGATACGTGAATGAAGTAATGAATTAACTTATACATTTGTGCACAGTAAAATTTGCATTAGTACCCGAAACTGCTTCCCAAACGGAATTTTATTGCCCAAACACCAGAAATAAAAAATCCAAGTTTTACTGTATTTTCAAAGGTTCGTCGATCCATGAGAAATAGATCAGATAGAGAAATGAAACTTACTAAAGAGCTCGAAAGAAAACAATTATCAATAATTTCTTAATGTTTCATAACAGAAACAAGCTCATCGGGCCACTAATCTGTCCGTAATTGGGTCACTTACCCAATATACGTTTATCGTACGGTAGCTCTAGCGTTAAAAGGGAATACGTACCATCGGCTCGTCCGGAAGGCCAGACCCCTCGTCGCCGGCAGGATGATTACCGGTGGCCGGTGGGCCAGTCGCCGCAGTCGCCGCTGCGGCGGGGCCGGTGCCCTGCGCGGTACCATGTGCGCCGCCTCCTCCGGCCCCAGGGGCGCACAATGTACGAGGACTCAGGGGTAACCTCACGCTTGCCTCGCCGCGGGATCTACCCCCACCGCCACGGGCCCCGCGGCCCCCGTAACCCCGGCTCACCGTACACAGAGCCACATTTGCCGGGTCCCTTGGAACGCCCGCTCCTTAAAACCCGCCAATCTCCTCTGTCCCCTCACTCTAGGGGAGAGATGATTCTCTCTTGAGAGCTCCCTCGACCCCGCCCACCACCGTACCGCCAGCACCTCCCAGTGGAACTTAGTGCTAGGTGGCCGGATCAACCGGCCAGGATCCACGATTTCTTCTTGCACCTCTGCATCGGTCGTCTCTTGTTCTCCCTCTGTTCGAAATCTGAAATTAAGGAAACACCGTTTCTTTTTTTGCTTTTTTCGATCATTTTCAAGTGTTGGTATCGCGAGGTAAAGTCGTATAGACCGCGCATCTACCTGAAAATGGACGTACCAAGTTTAGACTTGAAAGTGAGGTTTTGGAGGTCTGGGGTTTAAGTGGTTGGCTCAGCTATATTCGAAAGGGATAGCAAGTCCCCCGAAAGCAATCCGTCTCTTCCTAAAGTTGGGACGCCAGCACAGGCTGGCGCGCAGTCTATACATTCTATGTCTATGGGCAAAGCGTGTCACAGGGGAACGCGTAGCCTCCCGCGATTCGTTACATAAAATGACACCGAGTTCAAGCGCCACGGGGGAGAGAGAATCGCTGATAAGAATGGCTTTGTTCGAGTGAGACGTTCAGAGGAGTTAGGTGTGTTACATCGCTCGTTGGTCCTGTTTTAGATAACGCCGTCTCTTTGTCTCCGATGGGGTATATCACGTCTTACACGATGATATCTCACCATTGTTTGACGCGTGTGATCCACCTGTCACTACTGGGCTCCTGTCTTTGAATTCTACGATGGGAAAATCCGGTGTGTTCACGCTCGAGTCGCGTGCTAATGATACCGCCGATAAACTACGCGCAATTTGTCATTGTCATAGTCACGAGCCGATTAGTATTGTCGGTGTACCGGGGAGCAATTAAGTGCCGCGACCGTCGGTCTATAACGAAGTGCCTCGCGACGAAACGAACAGTTGCCACGAACCGTGACCAGTTCGAATAAATCGGGAATGCTTGTTTCAACCACGGTTCCCCGTACCAATCGTCTCGGTGTCGTAGATAGAATCTTTCGACTGCGAATTCGTCGCAAGCGAGCACGTGACACGGAATCGTTTGTCTCCGAGACACGAGAGATTGATGTAGCTGGGACACTGTTTCGGATATCGGAAGAAGTACTCTCGAATAGAACAGCATAGCATCCATGGAAGATGATTGATATAAGATCAGAATTTTTTCCAGTAAAACCAGGGTAACGATCCCGTCGTGGTCGCTCCGCATCGTAAATCTGCGTCCCCTGGGGGAAGGGGAAGAAAACTAGCATGAAGAAATTCCGTCGAGATCGATGAAAGATAATCGGCTCTCAGTCCGAAAGCGTCCACTTACACGTACACTTTAGTCACGAGCGGAGGACTTTATCCGCCTTATTTATCTACAACAGCCGTGATTAAGTTAACGAGGCCTTCCGTTTTTTCCCTCATTCGAGTCGAAAATTTCCATACCAAACGAAACCGACGACGACGACGACGATGGTAACGGTTTTTTTTTCCGTCGGTGTCGTTCCGCGTAAAGCTAACGCCTCTCCCCTCCGGTCTCTTAACGGGCGAGCCTGTTTGCTAATTCAGTTGACGCAGCCACGTGGGTGTAGGTGTAAAAAATTCAGACAGAGTCGCCCCCGAAAAATAGGAGCAGCGACACGGTTACTACCCCGGGGGCGACAATTATCCACCGGTGGTCGAAAGAGCGCGACACGCGTATGCATCTGGGCCAAAGTAGTTCTTCTCGGTCGAGCTCGCGATCAACCGGTGAACTTCCACCCGGGGAATTTCGCGAGGAGTAAATTCGAAATCTCGAATTCTCAGTTCGTGTTTCACCGTACCGAAACGGAGGATTCGTCGATGTCGCGAAGATTCACCCTACGAAGCGACAAATGTATGCGGAATATCTGACCGGGACAAGAGAGAACGTTGATTATACAACGGAAACCGTATACAGGATGTTTCATAAATGCGTGTCAATACCTCGAGGTGTACACATACAGATTAAAACAAGTGAAAAATGTCATAAAGATATATGTATATTTGGTATACCTTAGTTTCGAGTTATGGAAGATTAAAGAAAATGTACGAAGTGCCCACCTTGTGCCTCCACACACGCTACTGCATGCCTCAATAGTCCAGTCGAATTAGACTTTTTTCAAAACATAACTCTAATTAACTATGTTTTTGCTTCAAGTTACAATTTGCGTATACATTTCATTTCTAATGACCGTCCGAACAATTTTATGCAAAAACATAGGTAATCGGATGACGCTCAAATCGCAAAAGTAATTTTTTTATTTTATTAGTATTTATTTCAATGTTACAGCACATGCATTTACTCTCTATCTTTGTAGAGTAAACTCGTCATAGGTTAAAAATAATTAAGCACTCGATTGGCACGTTTTCAAAATGAAATAAAACAGTTGAAGGTTTGAGAGCAACGTCGAATCAGTTCGGAGGACAAAGCCAGCCTTCGCGTCAACGTCGTTACAAAAGAGGGCAATCTCTTTCCCGGTGATTTGCGAGGTGAACGCGTGTGCGCTTGCTGTATTGCCGAGCGATTTTGATCAGCGCTTAGGCTAATATCGGGGCCGCGGCACGGATACAAGGAGGACACACCGTACGTTCCGCGAAGGAGCTATGAAAATGACGGGCAGACGTGCGTCGGGCCTCGGTTTATTGATAGAACGTCCACCGTGCGCCGATGATATATTAGCCGATTATTTTTTGCCGGAGGATAAAAATATTCAGGGCCGATGCGAGATTACATTTTCCAGTCAATGGAGTACGTGATTGAGGCCTCGGCGGCGACGGCGGCGAGAAGAAAAGTGCAAACGAACCGGCGAGGCCAGATCGAGCATGATACGTAAATCCAGAAAAGAAGGAAAAGCGCTTTCCTTTCATCGCGTTCCTCCCGATCTCCGTCTGTTTTTTTCACGTAGTCCGGTCCCCTACATTTTTCACTTCAAAATTTCTCAACGAATTACCGCTGATTTTACGTGCACTCTGTTCAAATCCAAAGAGTGACGACTTCTGCTCAAGAAGTACAATGGATGATCAAATGATTATGAACAGACGGAGAAATTACATATCTTACGTTTTCGGTGTTATTATGCCTTATACAATACACAAAATACACCACTACTGTAATTTCCGCTGTATGACAGAAAATATGACTATGATAGTGGCATTAACTAACTTAATATATAAGCAACACACATTTTCTATCACACGGCGCAAATTGCTTACAAGTTACAGTAGTTGATCAACCTTGGCGATGGTCCAAATTCAGCAACTTTCCTCTGTGAATGCAACATTAATTTTACGGAAAAATTTTGCAACGGTATTTAACCTTTTGAAGAATACTTTTCTTTCATTCGAGCATTATTCCGAAACTGCAATTAGATATTCACTAGGAGCTTCCCCAACAAAAGAGCACATTCTACGAGTTGACTGTCGTTAATATTTATAAATATATTTTAATTAAATACTGCCGAAGAATAAAAACATATTCTTTCTGATCTTAATAAATTCTTCCCTGAAGAGGTTAAATAATCCAGCCCCTTTGCAATGTACGTGTTACCCGTATCTGTGTGACATGGCAGTCAATGTGTTAAAACTATCGCCCAATTGTTCATCCGATGTATTCCATGCGCTTTTCGCAGAAGAGAAATCTGTTTCAATCGTAATAGTTCGAAGAACCCTATATATTCCCCGTTTCGGGATGCCGTATAGAAACGTTGCACCCCGAAAAACTTTACGCGGCCACAGACGGAAACTTTTTGAAACGAAAACGAATTGGGTGTGCAGGAAGACTGCCAATCAATCTCTCGTCCTCGGGGTGGAACGATACCCGATTTACCTTCGAATCGAAAAAGTTTCAAGCCTAGATATTCGCTGGGGCTGAGGGTAACTGAGCAAACAAAAAATCCCGAAGCAACGTTTTGCGTGTCGAACCCACTGTGACCCAGTCGCCAAAGATTTCAAGGCTGTCCTCGAGCTTAACAACAACCCCGTAAACTCGACCTACCGGGCTCAATGTCCGAACACACCGTGCGGTGTTCGATTGTTCCCGATTAAACGATGTAATTTTTAGAGCATGAAACGAACCTGAACAAAGAACGATCAGTAAATCATACGCCGAGAGTGACAATGCACACATGTATCGTAACTAGACTGCAAGATTTTTATATAATTTCCCCCGTTTTTATGGATTAAT